AAGTACAATGTCATATCAACTTTCCCCAAATGCTGCAACTATAATTAGAAATTATAATACATTATCCAGGGTTCACGTTGTAATTGCATAAAAGCAGGGGGAGGTGGCTAGTTTTCCATAGGTGATAAGATTAGCTTCCTTCCAGCCTTTGGAGTCCCAGCCATAGAGCCAAGTTGAATAATATTTTTAATGCAGACAATGTTTGTACTAGACAAAGTCAACTTAGCTTTCATATGAGCGAGGAGTCAAGTGTTCCCCTGCATGATGTGTTCTCTTTTTCCCCTTCTCTCACTGTTTAGGTAAATCACAGGAGAGGACAATTTTAGCTTGGAACAACTACAGATCCTCGTGAAAGTCGTGTTTGGGAATCTTTGTGTTCATGTCCTTTAAAAACTCAACTCTTCTCCAAAATACCATAATCTTGCCCTATTTTACATCTCAATCAGGTGAGTACCTTCAGAGAGATTTTACCTTCAGTCATTAGACTTTACTTAAATGGAAAGTAATCTAGAAAGGGAATATGAAACTTGGAGTTTCTCTCGACTATCAGAAAAGAGCTGGAAAGGGTTACAAGAAAACTTCAAAGTAAAGCAGGCATGGGGACTCCCACTTATAGTATAAGCACTTTAGTAGGCCAAAGGGGAGGGTCATTTGAAGCCAGAAGTTCAAGACCAGCCTGGGCAACACAGGACTCTAACTTCTAGAGAGGCTGAGGCAAGAGGATCACTTGAGCCCAGGAGTTTGAGGTTATAGTCAGCTATGATCTTGCTGCTACACTCTAGCCTGGGCAACAGAGTAAGACCCTATCTCTTTAAAAAAAAAAAAACAAAGAAAGGAAAGAAAAAGCCTGCAAAAAAGCAGTGGAGACTCTTGGTTTTAAACTTCAGGTGATAAATTTAACCATTCCCCTGGCCCCAACCTCTAGGACCTCTTTCTTTCATTTTTGAATACCTTGCTACTATAACGCCCTGTTTGGGACCCTGGATGAACCTCTCACACTCGTCCAAGTGTTCCCAGCACTAGATTTAGACAGTAGATGGGAGCGCAGGAGAAGCTAATCTGACTAAAAACAGAGGAGACACACAGAACCTCCCTTTCCCTTTTCCTCCCAGACATTAAGGAATCTTCGTCCTTGGAAAAAAAGCCCTTTGCTTTGATTCAAGGAGAGCGCACCTCCCAGCAGAGCACAATGGCGCCAAAGAGGGAGAGATCAGAGCTCTCAGGGCCTCCTTCATGCACACAAGTGCTGAGCCCTTGGTGGGCAGTCTCCTAAGTCTCTGGGAATCCAGCCCTCCGTACACCCCAGAATCACACTTTCTTGACACACACATCATGGTGCCCCTCACCTCAATGCATCCAACCCCAGCCCGACATCCCTTTCACCTCTTCTCTCTCAGGAATAACCACAGCTTATCAGCCACAGGTATTAAGAAGGCTGGACTAGGTTTAGGACAGGCTAGGGTTAACCATCTCTGAGCTTCTAAGAGGTGAATGCATAATTCTCAGCTTTTTAACACGTGCCTGAGACTCTTGACACCACTAAGAGAAGCTATATCAGCTCTTCTGTTTTGAAACCAAATTTGCTAAAATTCCGAGGTACTATTAGTTGTCTGTGTACCTAACGAATCCTCGTGGCCCTGAACTTGCACTTGAGACACGCTTAAAGGCGAGGTCTACGGATAGAGCAGTTCATAAACATTTCCCCTGGAGAGCCAACTCAAGCAACTTTCTTTCACCCATCTCCCAACAGAGTCAACCTAAAGACGGCTTGAGTAAGTTCCGAGAGTGAAGCTAATTAAAAGAAAAGGAGGCTGACTTCACGGTTTAACACACTGCTGCTTTTCTGACTTTTCTAGGCAGCAGCAAGCGGAGGCAAAACTAGAAATAAATCTCCCTGAATGGGGTATCTTTTATGAAACTCTAGACTCTGGTTTCCAGAAAAGGAGGGAGGGTTCATAAAGTTGAAGGAACATTTTTTTTTTTTTTTTTTTTTTTTTAGCCATTAGGAGGAGTCTCCCTCATGGTCAACAGAAGGCATCACTTTTTCAGAGCTTACATGCTGCCCTCTCCTGGCCTGTGTACATAAAATGTACTTATTTTAATCCCTCACCTGTGTATGATGTACTTTTGAATGCGTAAGAGTTGGTTTAAAATATGCAGGACGTCTCATCACAAGTTTATACTTGAAGCTAATTTAAGGAAATACATTCATTATCCCTTTGGCTCCGGGATTTACATTTAAGGACGCCAATCTTTATACCATCTCTTCCCCTATCCTCCCTCTCCCTATCATCTTAACTTTCATGGGGCTCGAGGACCCCGTTCTGCAAATCAGTGCTTCAGCATGGGTTGGGTCCTGTCCATGCCCTGGCCATTCAAAGACATCTTCCCAACCAGAAGTGATGGCATGGGGAAGCCTGCTAAAGTCATCAATCAATGTTGAGTCTGAGGCTGTATTTTAGTCTCTTGTAGGATCAAAATGAATTCTACACCTGATTAGGCCAGCACGTCCAACTGCAGAAATGGATGGACTGCGTGGTAGGAGGAGAGCCAGCTAATCAAAGGAGATGGCAACTCCTAGGTTTAATTTATAATTGTACACCTTTTCCTTCAAAATAATTTGTCTTGTTTCTAAGTGTCTTGTATGACTTGCATTAAACCCAATGCTAGGCATGCTTTCCCTGGCTGAAATAATTCATTATTGTTCTCCTAAATACTTAAAAAGCCCTGACACTGAGAATGTGCCTGTCACCGGTGCAATTGCTGTAGCAGCATGGGAAGTCAGATGTGCCCGGCCTGATCCGGTGTGTGCTTGTGCCTCTTCAGCTTGTCAATGCTTCTCTGGGACCCAGGCAAGCCAATCCTGTCCCTGTCAGTAAGAACTCAGAGCCTAATACCATTCGTTTGCATGAGAAGAAGATGGCTAGGGAAGAGGTGTTTACCTTAAAGAGATTTAAAGGTACATCTCTTATTTAAACTTCAGCAAACTTGTAACTTGAGGCTATCTAAAGCTCTAGCGGGGGCTGGCTCTACTCAGATGTATGGAGAATGAACATGGGATGGATTGCCTCTCTTAATGAAGAATGATAGCATAAAACCATCAATAATCAAAGCCTTGTTTATATTTGCAGACCATCAGTGTCTCCTAGCCTATATAAAGTGAATATATTTAGTCTTACACGCTCTCATGTGCTACATGTCCAGCATTGCTTTAGAGTTTGAATAGTAAGACGCAAATGGGTCCCAATTTATTGCAGGCATCACACATGCATTTATAGAACACTGAAAATCTAATCACAGAAAATCACACTTCTAGCTCCTAACAGACTTACTTAGTTGGATCAATTCATCTGTATTTATTTGGATAATTCTTTTTGATCCATTTCCTTTGTGATGCAAAACAAGAAAAATATTCATCCATAAAGCCAAAGTGCTATCTGCTAAACAGAATATTCACGTGACGTGTCTACCCTTGGACAAGATCTCAAATACCCTGTTCAATCATTCAAATCAGTCAACGGGAAAACATACGACGTTTTCATGACGCCGTGGTAGAACTAAGCATGCATTTCTCTTAAAGATAGAAAGAACATGTTTATCTGATTTAAAAAAAAATAGATCAGGTCAATATTAATGCCCCATTGTGACATGGACAGTAAATATCTTTCTTATAATTTCCTTATCTTCCTTGGTCAGGCACATGTCTTGTGGCAAGGGCGACCCTGAAAACCAGTCACTGAGTGGTGAGTTGATGGTGAAATCTCAATTGATAGCCTGGACATCATCTACTTAGAATCCACGGAGGAGAGGGCTGTTTCAGCTTTAGGTAACCTATGCGATTGTCCCGGTACCTGCTGCAGGGCCAATCTCTTGCTGAACTTGTGTCCCAAGGTGTTAATATTCTCCCCTGCCGAAGAAGTACTTTTCACAGGGGCTCTGAGCACTTGAACACCAACACTTAAGGACTGGCCAAAGGAAGACTACTTTGTACCTGAGCCTTCATGAAGCCCCCTCTGGCTCTTCCAGAGAAAGGCCAACTTCACTGTGCAAGGCTAATTCAATCACAAGTAATCAACGAGGGGGGTGGGGGTGCAAGTTATATAAGCATCTTCAAAATTCCAAATCACACATGATAAAAATTTCAGGGAAATAGACTTTTTTTTTTTTTTTACAAAACCCACACCTCGAAGTAAAAGGAATACAGAAGGAAAAAGAAAGAAATGGCCAGAAGTCTACCCAATTTTAAGACCAAATGAAATCAAACCAAAAATTGGCACTTACTCACTATCATCCCAGTAACTCTATAGTCCCATTCATGACCTTTTCTCATAGCAAGACATGAAATCCTGGAAGTCATCTTGCCTGCGTGCATTTAAAAACCCTTAAGACGATGGAGATGGAAACCAGGGGCCCAGGAATGATCGCACTGTTATCTATCTCCCTTTTCTCTGTAGGAGAAAACTACAATAGTAATACCGGGATATCTCACTTTGGAGGTTAATGCACCTTGGTCATATGCTTTCAAAATCAAAACCATGCCCAAGTCCACCTGCTTCCTGTTCGACGGGGAAGGATATTCATCTTATAGGGAGGCGGGAAATGCCCAGAGACTGCCACCTGACAATGAGGCGACGTATGACTTGCCTTAGGCCATAATTACAATGGAGGTTACCAAGAGGTATTTGGGGTTGCATGAGAACACGCAGGTATCTGTGTTATTTGAAAAGGCAGAGAGAGAGAGAGAGAGAGAGAGAGAGAGAGAGAGGGTCAGGCTCAAGTTTGAAGGTCCTCGTTTTATGCCCAGGCGCAATTCAATAGGTGATTAAACCCTGCACCCCAAACACAGGCTAACAGCTGTAACCCCCCGAGGGGAGTCAGGCGAGAGGCTCACGCAGCGCTTCCTAAACCGACCAGCCCCCGAACAATGTCAATGCCGCCTAGTGCCTCGCGAAGGTAGAAATCAGAAACCGTCAGTGTGGCCGAGGTGACAAGCCGCGTACCTGCAGAGACGTGATGGAAGCCTCCTCCTCGGTCCCTCCTCTCTCTGTCTCTCCCTCGCCGGCTCCCGGCTCTGAGTCCTACCGTCCGCGGCGGGGTCTAAGTTTGGTGGCCCGCCGCCGCCTCCCGCGCGACCGCAGCCGGAGCCCAGCAGACGCCCATGGGGGCCGCGCGGCGGCCGAGTGTGCAGCGCAGCGAGAGCGCGCCCCGCGCCGCGGTCCCCGCCGGGCGCCTGCAGCTGCCAGCCGAGCCGAGACTCCGCTCTGACCGCGCTGGGCGCTGCACGCGGATATTAGCACAGCCCGGGCTTTCTATTGGCTCCGAACGCCAAACAAATCACACCAGCCACCCCCCTTCTCCGCTCCACTCAGCGCTTGTTTCTCCTCTAACCCACAAACATTGCAGCCACACACACTTCAGTCGCTTGCCCTGTTTCTCTTTTCCTCCTCCCAGCCTCAGGCTTTACCACCTTGTGGCCGCCTCTAACATTTTTTTTAGCAGACTTCCAATCCAAACCTTCTTGTTTATGGAGCGAAATTCTCCAGCCCCTAAACCCGCAAAAACCACTCATTCCCTTCAGATCGTCTTCCTCCTTTGGTTGACAGCTTTGCAATGTGAAGAATGTGGACAGCCTGTGTGTGACATGTCCACGTCCACACACACACACACACACACGCACACACGCACACGCACACACTCTGGGCTGCTTTTGTTTTGTAAGTGAGGCCAGGGAAATTAAAAGCAAGCTGAGCCTCATAACCTGAGTGCGAGAGCTTCACTAATAAAATCTTGAATGAATTCAATGCAATACACTGACTCGTTGAGTTTGTTTTCTGTTCCAAATGGTGCTTTGGTCGTTATTAGCCTTATTTTTGCTTCTTGAACGCAGAGGTATCTAAAGCAAATCAGACTCTTCGAGGCCAGACCAATTCTCGGGCTCTTGAGTTGTACCCGAATTGTACTGTGATGACTTTTTTTTCCTTTTTTTGGTCTTCTCTGCACTAGTCATTTCAGAAGTGAGACTCTTAGTATGATTCACTAGCCAGAAAAGACTGTTCAGATTATGCTCATAGAGTTTTCCAGATTAAAATATTTCTAATCTGTGGATGTCAAGAGAGATAAACCTTCGGCCTTGCAGGGGGGAAAGGGCCCAAGAAAAATCTGAGATCTTATGAACTTGGCTGGAAAAATTCAGAATAAAATGAAATTTCACTGTTTTTTACGAAACAGACCCTCCCACAGCTTTTCCCGCAAAATCAGTTTCACTGGTGCTTATGGAAATTTTAATGACGGTTGTTCTTGACAAGAAGCCATTGCTTCTGAAATCACTGAACTGTGTTTTGATTTTTGACTTGAATTTTTGCCCCCAGGGTTATCCGCGTTGTATACTATTTGGTATTTGGTATTTGATATTCCGGTTCCGGCCCAACTCATAGCACATTGTGTTACAAAATCAAGAAATAATCATCAGTTCTTGAAATGTGTCATCACCAAATAGACTACCTGCTTTCTTTTCTTCCTTGGGCACATTTCAGGAATTCTGAAATGCAGCCTTATTTTCAGAATGGGCCAACCTGAAGTCAGCTGAAATTGACACAGGAAATACAAAACAAAACCACATTGGCTAACCACAGTCCAACCTCAAAGGGCACATCCTCATTCATTTAACAACTCCAGACCGTTCCCCCTTTTTGGATAGGAATTTAAAACAATAATAATAATACTGTCATAAATATTTGAACATATAGAATGCATTTCTTCAATCTTAGACAGAAGGGAGTTAAAGGTAAGAAGGTCCCAGTTTTCTATATGGAGAAACAGAACTGATAAAGCCACTTGCTGAAGGTAGCTGGTAATAAGAGCTGGCAGATTAGATGACTGGTCTACCGGTTTCAAACAAATCATCCAAGTCAAGGAAAGTGAAGGGTTTCCATGCATATCCTGATTCCTGCCTTCCTCTGCCCAGAAGAGTTAACAATTCGTGAAATCATCTGTCCAACTTAGTCAATAATCATGTTACACATTATTTAAGAACAGGTCATGGTATTTTCAGATAAATGACAATAATTCACTTCAGAATTGTCTGTCTAGAAACAAGCAAAACAGTGGTTACAAACCAGCAGGTCATTATAACTTCTGCTTGTTATTTTCAAGGCTCATTATAACCCTTCATATCACTGGAAAGGCAGGGTAAGTAATATCATGGATAAAGTCAAGTCACAGATGGAACTGCAACTTCATTTTAGGTAATAATTCAAGCTCTTTCCTCCAGTTAATGAAGAACAAAACTGGATGATATAAGGGACCCTTCTTTCACCTAATCACTTGTATAGTCTAGGAAAAATAAATCATCACTATTTATGCTTTAGTTTATTCTTTTGATTATATTGCTACTTTTTTATCTTCTTCCATGGGATGTGATTCTTTTACACAGCATATTATTTCTCATTCACTTTTTTTTAAATTTCAAATTAATATGAGGGTACGAATTTGTAGGTGACATTGTTTTCCTTTTTAAGGTAAAGTTCAAATGGTAGGTGAGTCCTTCCCCTAGGGGGCGTGCTGAACACTCTCACGTTGTACACGTTAGGTGAGATCCTACCAATTGCCATTCTCCTCTATATTGCTACTTTTAAGGGATTTTTTCAAAGATATTTCTCAAGTGCTGTAATTCAGTATGTTCTTTAGAAACAACACAGGCGTGGATAATCATAAAAACTTTGCGTGTCAGCACGAACAGAGGTGGACTACCATGCAGGTCCACAGCAGAACAACCAATCCCATTTCAGAGAGACAATACTGCTTAGTTCAGCGTGCACTTTTCATACGTTGGTCTGTATCCAAAGGAGCTGATAAGACAGTAATTCTGGATGTTACAATGTATCCAAGATGCTGGCTTCTTTTCTTGGAGTAGGGACTTGGGTAAAGATGATAACACATCTTCAAATATTAAATGTGAAGGAGGAAGTAAGCATATCATGCTTCAAATGAATTGTCATGTTCATCAATATTTTCTTTTTTAATTAAATCATAGCTGTATACATCAATGGCAATCATGGGCTACAATGTGCTGTTTTTATGCACGATTTGAAATATTTTCATCTAACTGGTTAACATAGCCTTCACAGCGTAAGTATTTTCTTAATGGAATTTTTAGATAACCCTATGAGAGGTGTAGGGGAAATATTATTTGGCTCATTTTGCAGATTGTTTAGTAGAGTCCCCTGATGTCATCATGGTTTGGGTAATAGAGAATGAGAAGAACTTGAAATAGATTCTAAGCCCAGTACTGTTCTGGGGAGAGGATAAAAGAGGCTGACAAAAGTCAGGATAGAGGGATAATTTTTAGAAGTGGAACCTTAGCCACTGAAAGAATTTCCAGGCATGTTGATGATTTGGAGATTTTGATGTAAGTTACCAAAATGGTCAAGATAAAAGCTCACTGTCATCTAACTAAGAAGATTATCAAAGCATTGGTAGAAAGGTCACACAAAAGGACCCAGGGTTTATTTCCCTGAATAAATGAATCAAAATCCTCTTTGATTTTGTAACTAACCTAAAAATATTCTTAAAGAATTTGTAATTTCATCGGATGATCTTCCTGGTATGTTCTTCAATTTTTTAAAAGGTCCTGATTGTAATCCCAGTATGTTTCTAGACTGTAGATGATTATAGGTTGTCTTTTACCCATCCTTTGACATATCTGTCTGTTGGCTGATGACTATACTTTGATATAAGAAAAAAAGTGTTAAAAAAGCGAAAAGTAAAAGGAGTTATAATTCTTCCCCTACTCTACAAAGATAAGAGATTTCCATGTGACTAGTTTAATTACATTTCCGGTGTCCCCAGGGGAAGATGACATCCTTAATCTTGTCTGTACCTATTCATTTGTTTTCTTTTTAACCTAGGTTGGAAGCTATTCTAATGCTAATATTTTTACTCTGGTTATCTATTCATTCTATGACCAGCTATCTTTTAACGTACCCATTTATTCATAAATCCATAAATTCCTGTTTAGTCCATTTATAGCTATAATCATCCTCTCTTGGATTACCATAGCAGTTTAAATTTAAAATCGTTAAAAAGATTTTGATATACAAAGTTTTAAAAGTCTTCCATTTACTGGCTATCGAAATGCGTTCCTCTGTCAGATAAAAATTTTTATCTTATCCAAAGCCAGAAACTTTGTTCTTTCCTACTGTACATTTACATCAAAATCTCAAAATGAAATAAGTATTTATGGTCTGCTCATATATATGACTCGATACGCTTATGGTCTACAAATTTCAGCTGTTTACATGTGAGGAATAGCATGTATCCCTCTTGGGTCACAATATTTCTGCCCAAGAATGATTTATGAGAGTTTTATAGCAAAAAATATCACCCTTATTGTGTCGCAAAATAAACTCCTTGTACAGGAGAGTGCCATCTGTCATGTTTGTGTCACCCCAGTGGAGCAGAGAGCACAATCCACAGACAAGCTTGGGAAATTAATAGGAGAGGGAATGACCACGTACTCAGCTCAGCCCCTGTATTTTCCCTTAAGACCCAGGGAGCAGGTGGCTGTGGGTTTTTTTGATTCATTAGCCCATGCTTATTAGAAGTCAGCAAGGCCTCTGTACTGTACCCTTAGTGCTAAGATATGGATGGGAAGAGGTGAAGAGGGCAAAATCAGAGTGAAGGGCAGACAGGGCCACCTTTGACCTGAATGTGCTTATGACACAGTGGAGGCAGTGAATGGTTATAATGAGAGCTGGAACAACAAATGTGGCTGAAGGAACAGCCAGGAAGTCCCATTGTGGTACCTGCTACCGCCAAAGCTCTTTCCCAGACCTAATAGCCCAGCTGGGGAAGGAAGCAGTCTAGGCAGGTGCACCCAGTAGATGGCTACAGATGTCTCATAATCCTCTGCCCTTGGGGCTGCAGACAGCAGACTGGGAGAATACGCTGAACTCAGAGACAGCCAATCTGCCACCCATAGTGGGTAATCAATCAGGTTTCCTCTTGAGGAGCTGGAAATAGGGCTATCTATCAATGTACCCATCTGTGTCTATTAGCCATTGGCAGTTGACAGCAAACACATAAGTGTAAAGAGTCAGAAAGTCAGAGAAGGCAGAGCATGCTTATTACGGCCATGCTTAGAATAGGTGTCCATGGAGGTCTACGGAATCCAAGATGGGACAAGGGCCAGTTGTCTACTCTTCCTTAACTTCCATGGGCCCTACCTCTCTTTCCCTTTTCTCCGTGGACCTTCATCCCCCACGTCTCTCCGTGTTTGAGATACGCTGAAGATTCAACAAAGAAAAGAACCCAGCAGAAAATCAAAGCCGCTGCCACAATCTGAGAAGTTGGAAAATGAGTTGCAGGCTGAGTTTCAGATAATGGGCATTATTACCCTGCAGTTTTGTGCATGGACCTCACTGGCAACACTGGGTTT